CCTGAATGAGGGCCAGGGTAGATCTTATATACTTTGGGTGACCAGGGAAAATGGTCTGGGAAAAGGGTCAGGGTGAGAATTCCCAGAGATTGGAATGTCTAAGAGACTGAATAGACAATGGGAATAGATAAGGAACTGAAATGTATCTGAATGAGATTAAAAGGTAGGCTAAGGCTTTCAAAGGCAAATGAGTGGCTGGGGCCTGTAGACAAGAGAAGCCAGATTCCCTTTGGGGCAAGGGGCAAAGACCTGGGCTTGGGCCACACCCCATCAATTTTACAGAGTAGGTAACTGGGGTCCACAAAGAAAAGTGAATTTCCTGAGGCCACACAGGTATTAAAAGGCAGAGCCTGGTTTTGAACTGTCCTCTGTTTCCATTGAACTGAGAAGGGAGGGTTGGGGGAGGGAGGCAGGCAGTTTACAGTCTTGAAAGGGAAGCTGCCTTCAATGTTGATTTCCCTTTGCCCCTTCTCCTCTCCACCCCAGCTGGTCCTGTGATGATTCAGGGCATCGAACAGGCATGAGTTCCAAGGCATGACAATTCATCTGGGTTTGGCAATCCCCTTGCCAGGAGGGGAGGGTCTTGGAGAGACCAATGTAATGCACGAAGGACCCTTGGGGGAAGGGAGAGGAGATGGGATGCTCTGGCTGAGAAGAAAGAAGGCTGATAAGGCCACAGAGATTGGGAGGGGTTTAGAAAGAATCAACCCTCCTTGGAGGAAAGTTCACAGCCTTCCCCAGGATGTTATCGAGGGCCCAGCCCATTTACCTTTGTCTTTGATCTAGACCTTTTTATGAGAGAAAAATATTTCCTCCCTGAATTCTTGTGGTAGGTTACTACTGCCAAATACTGTATATACTTACCACAATGCGGAAATTATAAAGATAAAAAAACCTAGATTTTATTTATATGCTCATGCACAGTATGCTTGAGAGAAAGAAAACCTGAACCCCAGTTAGGTGCCTTACAAGCCCTCCTACAGGCAAAATTATATCACAGTGACAGAGAAATAATGCTTTTACATAGTGCAGTCTTGTACATTCCTCTTAGACCATAAAAGTTAAACGGAAGATAGATCTATAATCTCATGCTTTTTTCAATTTTATAAAAGTCAAACAAACTTAGAGTCATAATCTCATACATCTCTTAAGGAAACAAACTTTGTCAAAAAGACTCTATAGGTAAACTAAGTCAGGTAACAGATTAAACTACATTTACATTCACAAATAGGCAGATTTACATGTTGGCAAGGAGCAGTTGAGATTCTTCCAAGGGCTTCTTATGACTCTAAGTAAATTTTCACATCTTATGGGATAGGTTTTGATTAGGTGAGGTTGATAGTAAGACAGGCTCTTAGCTAGCCAAAATTTGCAAAGAGGAGAGGTCGTGAATCTCAAGTAATAAAAGGAAATAAAAAATTCCTATAACAACCTCAAAATCAACTTAACCAAACCTTCTAAACTTCCACATTTCTATTGAGGATGCTGCACCACCTCCCAGGCACTCAGGCTTAATACTAGAGAATCATCTTTGATGCTATACTCTTCCTCACTCCCAGTATCCAATCAGTTGTCATGTTCTATCATTCTACCTCTGCCATATTTCTATCTTCCAACACTTTCTCCTCTGGACTACTGTTATTAACCTAATTGGCCCCCTCCCTGGCTTTCTCCTCCCTCCACATCCTGTCAAAATAACATTCATAAGATACAGGTCTGAACAGATTGCTGCCCTGTTCAAAAAAAGTGGAGTAATAGCTATTTCCTGTTGTCTCTAGAGTAAAAGGCAAAGTGGTTAGCCTGACATTTAATGGACTCCAAAATCTGGCACTGACCTACTGTTTCAGCCTTATTTAACATTACTTCACACAATCTACCTTCTACTTCAACTTGATCTCTGGCTATTCCCCAAACTGAATATTCTATTCTCACATGGTGGTCAGAAAAAGTGACACAAGGACACTCTCAAGGTCTCAAGAACTTTGGAATTGATTGCATGACATGAACGGCATTGGCATAGGGCCACTCAGCACGATGCCCTCCGCAGAGAAGATGCTGTGCCCTATGAGCAGAGCAGAATTGAAGTAGCTCAAAGGAAACGTGAGATATGTGAATTTCGAGAACCCATCCAAGCTTGTATTGGTCTGATCAGCCACAGTGGGACACACTGTAACTTGACTCTATCATAATGATGCCATTTTGGTCTTCTCCAAGAACAAAGGACAGACATATATTCTTTGACCACCTTTGAACCTTCCTTCTTAGAATCTAAGAAGGACACAGACCAAAGCTGTCTCAGAAATAATGAATGAAACAACAAATGAACAAAGCATTTGATTAAGCATTACTGTGTGCAATGCACTGTGCTAAGTGCTTGGGGTTCAGATAGAAAAGCAAGACAGTCTCTACTCGCAAGGAGCTTACATTCCAACTGGAGGAGACAGTACTCATGGAAAGTTTCAACTGCAAGAGAAATGGAAACATCTCATTGTCCTTAGGGGGCAGTGGCAAAGCAGATGGTAATGTGTCTTTCTTAATGTCATTTCCATTGATAAAATCTATCAGTTTCTGATGCTGAACCATTTGACAATGACAAGGACTTTGGTGACAGGTACTTTCTTTCCTGGGTCTTCAGTAGCTGTGGCTGCAGTGTCTATGGAGCATGGCAAGGCTGCATCTCCACAGGGGCTGCTTCCCAGGGGGATAGATGGGCTGGAAGCATTGCTATTTCCATAGCTCTTGTGTTCATCCTTCTAGGCTGTTTCCATTTGGGTCTGAGGGGAAGTGGTGGTCAAGGTGGTGGTTCTGTTGGGCTGTCTGGCACATGGTGGCCTCCTGTCTCTCAGGGTGCCTTGCTGCTTTGTGAATGACATGAACTAATGAAACCAGTGTTAAGCATTCTGTGTAAAAACAAAGAGGCCTAATCAAAACCATCAAAGGGGTCTAAATTAGAAAAGTATGAAAAGATGCACCATATATAAGGTGAGCCCGTAGCCATGTGCTAGAGTCAGCTGGAAAAAGCTCAGGAGAGCCTATTAAGGTCAGCTAAATGCTCTGAAATGAGCAAAGTTACATATCAAGGCTTGAATTATTATTTTGTTGGTTATCTAAAGTGATGGAGAAAATGTTAATAATGTAGATCAAACTTAAAAGTATGTCTTGCATACTTTTTTTTTTGAAGAGCCAGTTAAACATTTAACAGCACCCCCCCCACACCAGGGGGTCCTTATCTCTGTTCCAATAAGGACAAAATAAGATTAAATAACATTGAAGGAGGAGGGGCCAATGTGAAATACTATATTTGCTCAAACAGAAGCCATCCTCAAATATAGATTACCTCCCTAAGCCTCACTTTGAAAGGGGAAAAAGTTATACACTGAAAAAAAACCACAATCACAGGTCACAGGCTTTATATGTTAATTTTGGGGGGGGCATGAAGTTTATATGGAGGATCACTTGATTTAGAGCTGTAAAGGATCTTGGAAGTCATCTAGCAAACCGCCTTATTTTACAAATGAGATCTACAGTAAGCATACGAAATAGGATAATGTCAGGATCCCCATGCCAAGACCATCCCTCTCTTTTTACTATTAGGAGACACCGTGTTTTCCAGCAAGCTGTGCCTTGAGCTTGGCATAACCACAATCCTTTGCACTCACCCTCTGGATGAACTCATCCACAGCAAAATTCCAGAATCTTTTCACACCAGCTGGTCCCTGAACTGAAACAAACACCTGCAGGACTTATGTTCTGATCAGGAAGTCCAGCTTTGAATCAAACCTGTCTCATTGTTGCCATTACCCCTGGATGCCAGGGCTATGAGGAGCTGCTTAGCCACTAGTATATGCATTGAGACTTGCCCACACTAAACTGGGTCTCCTCTGTATCAGAGGAGGCCCCTGGCACCTCTGTCTAGTTTCCCTCCTCTGATAGAATAAAGAAAGCTTCTTGCTTGTGACCGCTATTAGCTCTTTGATTTGATTTGATTCGATTTTGCAGAGTTAAACTGTGGTTGTGATAACCTGTGTGAGCTCTCTGGTATTTTCAGAGTTAAAAGAGACTCTTTGGTCATTGGTTTTCAGGGTTGACAATATTCATAAATCATTTCACTTCACTTCAATGTATTTTAAAGGGTCTCTAATTTTTGCCTTCAAAAGACCAGTTCCTAGTAAATTAACATGAAGTAAGAGCTTAACGGATTCTGTGTGTTTTGGAATAAAATCTGTGGTAAAAATGACTGTCACGCAAAAACATCATTTTGGAAATAATTTAAAGTACAAATACATTAAAGTAGTGTATTTATTAAAAGTAAATATGTTAAATCTGCCAAATACTTATAATTTGAAAAATAACTCATGCATCGTTTAAAATTCAAATGTCTTGAGCACTTGAATGAAAGGTTTGTAAAGCACTTCACACGGTGCCTGGCACATAGCAGGCCATTAATAAATGCTTGTTCCCTTTTCCCCTTCCTCCTTCACTATCTGGACTCAATATTTCAGTTTCTCTCTCTCTCTCTCTTTTTTTTCCTGCGTGAGGCAATTGGGGTTTGGTGACTTGCCCAGAGTCACACAGCTAGTGAGTGTTATGTGTCTGAGGTCGAATTTGAACTCGGGTCCCCCTGACTCCAGGGCCGGTGCTCCATCCACTGCGCCACCTAACTGCCTCAACATTTCAGTTTCTCACGATGCGCTGGGGAATCCAACAAATATAACTGTCTCTTATTATCAATTTTATTTTTTTCATAAAGCAGTGCGAACTAAATTGGGAGGCGTCAACAAAGGTCCTGTCCCTCTAACTACAAGCAGGGCCCTTACTGAGGCGACCCCGCCCACTGACTTGGGACCACTTAGAACCAGAAGGCTCCACCTAGGCCCGGCTTTCGCATTTCTTCCCTTTCCCCTCCCTCCCCCACTTAATGCCCTTTATGACGCATGCGCTGGGGCTTTCTCGAGGCGGGGGTAGTGAGGGAGTGTGGTTGCCAAGGCAAGACTGGTGCTTCCTCACGTGCCCGCGACTTGGGCGCGGTCTTGGTTGTGCTGGGGGAGGGGCGGGAACGGGGCCCTGGAACGCTCCTGGAATCCATTGCGGTTGCGCGGGCCGGAAGCGTTGATTGCTTCTGTCTGTTACTTTAGACATGGCGGCGGCGGCACAGGTCCCAGTGGGAAGGCTGAGGAGAGGTGGCCGGGCCCGTGGGCCCGGCAGGGGCCTTGCCCTGTGCTGACTGAGAGCGCGGCCGGGATTAGGTCCGGGACCGGAATCGGGCCTGGGTCTGTGCCGGCCTGACCGGCCATGGGGGATCCTGGTGGCGGCGGCCACGGCGACGGCGACGGCCGCGGCCGCCGGGCTTGGTGCTTGCGGCGGGTGGGGATGAACGCCGAGTGGCTGCTACTGGAGGATCGCAGCGAGGTGAGGGGGGCGGGCCGGGGCGAGGGGGTGGGGTGGGAACGAGGCCACCCAGATGGGAGAGTCCTCGGGATGTGAACCCACTGGGTCCGCCTCCTTGTCGGGGGTCCCCTACGGACCTGGGGGACGTGGGGAGGGGGCGGTGTCCTGCTGAAAGAGCGGAGGGGGAGAAGCGGGGCAGAAGGGGAGGGGGCGGCCTTTGAGGAGGGAAATGAGAGACGAGAAAATTAATGCCCATTTTCTGATAAGCTTCTTCATCCCCCTTTCGCCGTCCTCGTCTTACATCCCTCCACAGTCAGTAAACATTTATGAAGCTCCTAGTATGTGCTGGGCATCATGCGGAGGGCTAAGTTGCAAGCAAACTATTTACAGGAGAAAAAGGAAATTGACGGATGCTAGAATTAAGAGGGATTGGGAAAGGATTCCTGTAGAAGACTGAGTTTTAGTTGGGGCTTAAAGGAAGCTAGGAGAATTCTAGGCATGGGGGAGAGCCGGCGAAAAAGCCCAGGGTCTGGAGACTGGGTGTCTTGTTGGAAGAAGATCAGAGTAGAGTCACTGGATCGAATTGTTTATGTGGGGGGTGGGAGGGTAAGTTGCGAGAAGAATAGAAAGGTGGGTGGTGGGGCTAGGTTATGAAGGGCTTTGAATACTAGAGGAGTTTTAATGTGAACCTGGAGATGATAGAGAGCTACTGGAATTTACGGGGGGATGGGGGAAGGGGTGTGTTTACATCATCAGATCTATGCTTGGGAAGATCACTTTTGACAGCTTAGTGGAGGATAGACTGGAAGGGGAAGAGACTCGTGGGAGGAAGATCAACGAGCAGGCTTTTGCAATAGTCCAGGTGTGAGGTGGTGAGAGCCTGTACTATGGCAGTGTCATAGCAGAGAAGGGGTCAAAATGAAAAGATGTTACAAAGGTGAAATCACTAGACCATGGCAACAGCTCAGATACCTTCTGACAAAGGTGACCCTTCTGCCTGCTTGCCAAATACTACTCTTCTACAGGTGCTCTTGATCTCTTTGCTTCTCATCCCCATGAGCTTGCCCCGCCCCCTCCCCCCAGCAGTTTAGTCTGTCTTTTATTCTCTTAGTGGATATTGCCTCATCCACTGGCTCCTTCCTTTGTGCCTAAAAACATGCCTGGATGTTACACAGTCCTTCCCTTAACCCTACCGTCCCCCCCCCCCCAGACATGTGCAACATTCTAATTCTCTTTTTGTTGCCCAGCTCCTAGGAAAAACCCATTGCCTCACTAAAAGCTCAGTACCTCACTTCTCAAATCCTTTCTGTCAGGAACGCTGCCATTCTACTCAAATTGCTTAACGATAACCTCTTAACTTAGATTTGATGGCCTCTTCTAAGGCTTCTTCCTCCTTGAATTTTTTTCCTCTTTTGACATAGCTACCTTTTTTCTTGGATACTGCTTCATTCTCTGATTTCCTCGATGGTGCTCCCTATTCTTTCTATTTCTACCTGGACCTTTGAGTAGTCTACTTCCCTTGTCTGACTACCTTCTACTAACTAGTCTTGGTGATCTCATTTGTTTCTTTAGATTTAAATATATCTCTATGGTAACTCAGAATTTTTGTTTTTAGATTAAACCTGTGATTTTATCAGCATAAGAAGCTGTACTTGAGGAAACTCCCTCTACCAGTGCAAGTGGGTAGGCACTGAGAAGTGATTTGCCCTGCTTACACACCTGGTATTTGGGAGACTGAGGAGGAAATTGAACCCAGGTCTTAAAGATTCTCAAGCCCATTTCCTATCCACTGTGCTAATGAACTCAAACTTTTTTTTGTAAACCTCTACCAGAAAGGAATTTTTGATCACTCCTCTATTTGTATATTTATAAATTATATGTGTACTACTGTCTGCACATAGGTATATTATCAAACATACAAGATGTCAAAAAATGAGATATAGAGATATAGATATTTGAAAGTATATTTTGATTGAACAGATTGTGATACAGAGGCCTAGTGCTAAGTTTGATGTTATCTTGATACTTCATTTTAATGGTTGGCATAGCTGAAAAAGATAACCTCATATAAAGATATTGTAGATCCAGATAGAACAAATGCTTCATTTGGTTGTATTTACTAAATCATGATACACAATTTCCAAACCCAGACAACAAAATTGTTCATAGGTTTCTGTTTAAATTTGTCTTACTAACTTCCCTCTTTTCTTTCGTCAATTCTTGCAAACTATTCAGAAGATATTACCTTTTTTTTTAAACAAATGAATTGGGAACCTATTGAAACTTTTAGTTTGCTAGATTTTTAAATAGTTATAAAATTTGCAAATTTAAGTGTGCAGATAGTTTTTATAGGTGACACACATTGTTTTTGGCAACAAAAACTTAGTTTTAAATATCTTTCTAATAATATTGGCTTCATGCTATCATTAGCATATCTCAAGGCACAATCTGAACTTTAATAAAAGAGGATATAAAGCCACATTTTAAAATTTCCTTAATCATAGGTTTGTAGATTTAGAACTAGAAGGGACAGTTATCAAGTCCAGCCCCCTCATTTTACGTGTAAAGGAAACTGAGGTCCAGAGAAGTTAAGTGGTGCATGCAACTAGTATGTGTCCGAGGAGGAATAATTTTTTATTTTTTTGACCGAATTTTATCATATCTGGTTAGATTGTCTGCTTTTAACTTGTAATGTGGCTGATGAAATGCTTGTAGCAGTGTCAGCTCTACCAGTTTCTTGTTTATCAGTGCCTCAAATCTTGGTGTTATCTTCAATGATCAGTTTTCTTTTCAAGAATCTTTTTAAAGTCATTTTTCCATCTTATGAAGATTAATTAAAAATAGGTAATACAATATGTGAATCTACGTAACCTGGGACATTAAAATGTTTTTTTACCTTGAACTGGAAAGGATCTTAGACGTCACCCAGATCAACCCCTTCCTTTTAGAGGTGAGAAAACTGAGGCCCAGAAAGGCTAAAATGACTCTACAGGTAGTAGATATCTGGATAAGGGTTCAGAACTTTGAGTTTCCCAACCCCAAGTCCCGTGCTGTGTCCACTACACCCCAAACTCCTCTCCCACAGCTCCATTTCTCTACTAAATGTCTCCATCTGTATGTCCCATCAGTGTCTTGAATTTACTATATTTAAACAACTTATCTTCTCCTCTAAACTTCCCTCTTTTGAGAGCGTGGCCATTCTTGCAGTAATTAAAGTTGATAACATTAAAATCACCTTCATTCTTCTTTACCCTACCATATTCAGTAAGTTCCCTGGTTGTCAGTTTTCTCTCCCTACCATATCTCAAATCTATTCCCTTCTCTCTACTCACAATCCTAATTTATATCTACATCAGTTATTTGCTTTCTATTTATAAGAATCTTCTGATTAGATGCCCTGTTTTAGTTTTCTCCTTCTTTCAGTTCATCAGAACAGCTGACAAAATAGGTCTTTGGGCACAGTTCTAACCATATCACCTACTCAGAAACCCTTAAGATAAAATGCAAAGTCCTCATCCTGGCATGTAAGGCCCTGTACAAGCCTTTCATATTTGCTTTTATCTACCTGTGTTCCAGCGAAACTGCACTACTACTGGCTATTCCTCAAACTGGATATATCTCTTGGCCCCCTCTGTGCATTTATACAAGCCCAGAATATAACTGTCCTGAATTCTGGCTCTTGTTTTTCTTCAGGCCTCTTTCAGGAACCACTTTTATGAAACCCTAATCTCCTCTCCCAAGTAAACATTGTCAGTGCTCCCTGCCTCCTCTCATTACCTTGTATTTACTTATCTGTGTACTTAACTGTGCGAATGAATATATATTCACTCTTTTAATGTATTGTGAGCTTCTTCAAGGCAGGGACTGTCTCTTCTGTCTTTGAATCTCTGTTATGGACAGTGTTTTTACCACATTGTAATCACTTAGTATTTGAAGTGAGTCTACTTTGCCTGCCTGAGGATTACATTATAGCCAGTTTACTGGATAAAACTATGAATAGGACACAAACCTTTCACTGAAAGAACTTACTATGAAGTAAAAGAGATAAATGTGTATAGATAGCTATAGATGGGGGTGGTGTGGAGATGAGAAATAGGGCTATACTAGTTGTGGGTGAGTAAGCACCCACATGCATAAAGAAAGAAGTGAAATGTGGGAATGGACAGGAGGAAATATGCGGGAACATAGAGATGGATGGTAACTGAGGCTGTGACAAGATGGAGCCGGGCCTTAGGGTATTGAGCTAAGAGAGAAATATGGAAAGGATCTGAGATTGAAAGAAGAAAAGGGAGAGTTAGATCAGTTAAGGAATAAATGTCAATACTGTAGAGGATAAAAAAAAACACAACGTAAGACAGGATTCTTATTCTCAGGGAGCTTAAAAATCTAGATAGGAATGCTAATGTGACATACAAAAAGCCAGGGAGAGGGAAGAAATAGAAACATTCCCTGGATAAAGGTTAGAAAAGTTGAGAGTTGGTGAAAAGGGTAGTTGAAGTGAGGCTGATAGAAGATGACAGTTTTAAATTTTGTATAAAGTCGGAAGAAGTGAATGGAGAATTTTTTTAACATGAAATATCTCTGATACAAATCTAATAGCTAAGTGAACTATATAAGAGCAAAAGCCAGACCTCCTAGTACATGAGGACTTGAAGCATATAAACTTGTTTTCAAAATAAGAAATGCAAATGATCAATAATCAGGAACAAATACTCCACTAGTAATACAAATGCAAATTCAAACAACTGAGGTTTTACCTTGAGCCTATCAAATAGGCAAAGATGATAAAAAGTAAAAATTGTCAGTGTTGGATAGGTGCAATAATACACTGTTGGTGAAACTGGCTAGAGTTGGACTAACTGTTGTAGAAAATTTTGAATTATGTTAGAAAAGTGACTAAATGATTCATACCTTTGAATTTAGTGATTCCAGTACTAGGCATATACATGAAAGTCAAAGAGAAATATTTGTTGATATTTCTCTGGTTTATAATTTTTAAAAAATTAGCAAAGAGAGAAAGG